AAGGTAATACATTTTCAGTAAGCAGTGACATTATGATTTAGTAGGAAGATTCCCAAATTCTTGATTCCTACTTTTGCCTTTGTCTGCTCCTGGTGTCCCAACTTTCTCAGTTACAACCTGCAGGGGCTTCAGCGATGACTTACGCGTCCCGCCAGCAGGACGGGGCTGGTGCACACGCAGGGGCTGCCCCGACCACATGCCTTCCTCTTAATATTAAATCAGTATAACTGCAAAGTCATTTTACTGCGCGGGGGTCTCAGCCTGCCGCGCAGTGAGGTGTCATTTCCCCCATCTGACGAGTGAGAAGACAGACCAGAAAGGCCTGTTAACGGCCCTGAATTCAAACAGGAGATCAGCGAGCTGACCTCACACTAGAACCAGTCTGCGCTCCACGGCCCCCACAGGACTGCAGCTCGGAGCAGTGATGCTTTATTTCTGGACCTGAAGTTCCAGACCTTTCCTTATGGTAGCTCTTATTTTTCATACTTAATTTTCATGTAAGCAGCACTGGTGTGAGCAATCAGTTCTCTGGGCAGTGACAGGTTATGGCTGTCATTTACAAGTAATGCCCGGTGACGGCCGCCTTAGGGGGAGCCCAGATCACCAGGAAATGGCAGAACTGACATTCTCTGTGAGCCCTGAAGGTCGAGTGTTTTTTCAAAGCTTGATGGCACAAATACCAGTCAAAGAGAGTGGTCTGGACCCAACACAGAATTATTTTAACCTTTCTCGGCCTTTCTTTCAAGTAAACTGTCTTTTCCTTCCTACATTTTCTGCTCTATGCCTCTCACGATCTTTCTTTACAAACTACCATAAATTTAATGCACTGATGCCTTCATGGACGTGTCACAGTGACTTACTGGACACGAGGACCATACGACAGGGCGCCCTCGACTGTACTCACCACTCCGTCACTGCTGCACAGGACGATGTCCATCTGGGAAAGGGCCTCCATTTCTCCTGCTTGAGCTTTAATGTGAACGCCCTTCGGGGCGTCCATGCTTAGACTCCGTGTTGGGGATTCCAGTCTGAAACGAGGGAAAGAAACCGAGAAAAAAACAGCATAAAAAACAGCCCCCCCCCCAGCCCCTGGCCTAGCACAGAAAACAGAACCAGTAGGGGATCCAGTGTCTTCACTCATTCTCAAGCACCGGTATCTGGTACGTTGCTCGTTGATGAATCCAGAAATACTGTGCCGTAAAGAAGTGAACTTCCCATCAGTGAGAGTCCATGGGATACGCATCCCACACGAAGACACTCGACAGTCCCAACCCTATGCAGTAGCTTCAGGCAGCGGGTAAGCCTCCACCGGCACACCCACCAGGAGAAGACGCTATTTGTCAACCCCTTTGTGACGCTGTTTTTTAGCCAAAACACAAAAGTGTTTAAGAAAAAGGCAAATTTAAGGGCAACACGTTCATTTGTTACATGTTCATAAAACAGGATGTAAGCCTGGCCTTTGGGGGTGGTTTGCTTTTTATGTTTAAATATAGGAAGATTCCAGGGCAGATGCAAAGGCTCTTTTTGGAAAAATACAGGATGGACGGAGTTGATAGAGTGGAAGTGGCCTCAGCTGGCTTTGCGTTTGTAAAATTTATCAGAATCTCCTTGTGATTTAGTCAAATGTAGAAGCAGAACCATGAATATATGGGCCAGAAAAACTCCTATTTGCCTCCGCCTGGGAAAGCCTGAATTTCCACCAGATGGCACAGCGACCACTTGGAAGGTTTCCAGCTGCTCCACCCCCACCCCACCCCACCCCAAAGCTGCAAGGCTGATTTCATTGAATTGTTTACAGACCAATGAGGAGGACAGGACAGAATCCCTCCAGGGCGCAGGGTGAGAGCAGAGTGGAGGTGGGAAGGAGGGGGAAAGCTGAAAGCTGGTTTAAGAGGAGAGAAGTGCCTGATAATGCATCTGCGTCTGAACTGACCGTTTGACAGACTAAATCAGAGAAGTTGCTAATTTCTTGTCTACCAGCATTTGCACGTAAAACAAAGCTTCATTTTCTTACGTCCATCTCTACGTAGAACTGGATCTGTTACACACCTTGAAGTCTTGGAGTGTTTTGAGGAAACGCTTAGAGACGTGTATGGAATTTATTGGGGAAACACTCTGGGAAGTGTGGGCGAGCATCTTCTGTAACACAGCCTGTTTACAGTTCAACAAAATCCTTACCTGAGGTCCTGCAGTGGGTCAGGTCTCAGGAGGGGCGTCTCCACCGAATGTTCAAAAAGAGCCCCTTCAGGCCCTAAACGCAAACCAAAGACGCAGCGGTTTACACGAGTGAAGCGAACGACAGCCCACAGCGGAGCGTCCGTGCTGCCTGCTACGGGCGTCCGAGTTCCGGCAAAAACAGCCACAACCGCTTGCCGGCTCTCCAAGGACGCCGCGACTTCCCTCGGCTCCTGTACGCAGAATCAGCGTTCTAAAGCAATTGCAAACGCCCAGCTCACTTCAGAACTGCAGAGCAGTGCAGCCCTCAGGTGGGAAGAGGAATTTCTGCTGAAAACTGCGTACGTCCATACATTTTAGGTGATAGTAATTTGGTTCTTTCTCTCGATTTCATGTGTAAAAACTACCTTGTGTCCTCTGTTTTCTTAAGGCACATCAGGAAATTTATAGGAAAATCAAAACTTCAAACATTTAAAACTGGCCTTCTGGTTACTGGGCGTCAGTGTGTTGCAGCTGTCTCATCGGTCGGAGAACCTGGTCTCGCGCGGGACGGGCGCCGCGGAGACGGTGCGGGCCCTTCCCGGGGGTGCAGTGCGCAGGACCCCGCGAGGCAGGCCGGTGAGTTTCCTGTTTTGGGGAGGAGGAGACCGAGGAACAGAGAGGCGAATTAACGTAGTGGCAGGGCTGTGATGCGAGTTCGGAGCCCCACCGGCAGACTCCCGGGGTGAGACCCTTCGCGCCCTCGCCGTCCAAGCTGGCTTTGACGGGTCTTCCACTCCCTCCAGCCGCAGGCCGCAGGGCGCTTAGCGCCGGGGCAGGTCACTCCCGCGCGGGGCGGCGGTGGACGCGCTGGCTTCGAGCTCCGGGGGCGTGGAGACCCCCAGCGCCTCCGGAGACCTGTCTCCGCGTCTTTTAAGGGGCCCG